CAGAGTAGAGTTCAACAATTTCTCCACTCATTTAATCCACACACATCCATGTAAACACTATTCTTTTCAAAGCTACCGTCAGTTCTGAGGGTCACTAGACCCGAAACGTTAACCCTGCTTTCTTTCCACAGATGGTGCCAGATCTGCTGAGTTTTCCCAGCAATTTCCATTTTTGCTCCCTTTAAGTTGTGTGGCTGCTCAAGGTTCACCACATACCAATCGGCATGCTGAAGCATTGACTTTTGTATGTAGAAGCAGCTGCTATTCACGGATCTTACAGATCCATACCATGGAAAAACAAGTTGCAGTTTCTGCTTCTTGGTGGTAGAGGTCACAGGTTTGTAAGGTGCAGTTGAAGAAGCTTGTAAATTTGGGGCTGCAAACAACGGGACAAGAGTTCTACTACCACTGGATGACTGGAACCCAGTTAGTCAATTTAGTGCAACAATGCCTCAGGTTTATCAAAAATGCAAACAAATTTAGCCACAGGGCAATAAAAAAAAAAAGAACATCCTCCCTTGGATGCAGTGGATAGAACTGGACAAATAATTGTCAGAATTCTAGGCAAATTTACAAAAAGTTAAAACATAATAAGTCCCACATGACCCTTTGATACCAGAGGACAAATCCTCTCTCTCTCGGCTATACTCAGAAAACAGTGATGAATCTTTTAAAAATTTGGTATTTCTTGTACTGCTTTTGATTGGACTTTAAATTTTGATAAATGCTTGTGTCCATTGAAATGAAAGCAGGGAATAGAATTTGTGCAAGGATCTGTGGATGCCTGCAAACAGCTCCCCAAAATTAGATTTATTTTTCCTTTGGATTTCTGATATTTGTCTTCTACATGTTTGGGTGTCCAGGTCTATTGAAGGATTAGACCCAATTTTGTCTTCTGTAGTGGGCGCAAAGTACACTCAAGATAATTGGTGAACACTTAAATATCAAAGGATAAATGGAAACGTACAGTCTGACTGCATTTTGAAAACATGACATTAGCCAATGCTTTTCTGACGAGATCTACAAGGTTCAGTTAATGCTTACGATACCTGATCTGTACTCCCTCTGCACCACGATGGAAAATCTCTGCTAGAACTGCATTCATATCCATGCTTTTTGTTATTTCTTCCAAAGCATTTTCAGGAATCACATCTGTAACAGAGGGCTGAATGAAAATCTTTTTTTTGGCCTGTTAGAAAAGCCTTCGACAAGTAAGAAACCATCTCTATTCTTAAATTTGGAACTATACCCTGCAATCATTCACATTTGACTGACAAGAAAATGAGATCAGGTACGTAGAAACCTCAATTTAAAAAAAAAAATACACAATACATGGTTTTTAAAAAAATACACATTTGCAACTGATTCTTCAGCTACTGAACCTACATTGTCAATTAAAGTTGTTCCCATTGGGGGCTTTTAAATACGAGGCAGCCATTGTATGCTTCAAAGGCATTTTCAATAAGCTTTGCTAAACATTTTAAAGTTCTATACATACTAGAGAATCTTGCTTCACAATCAGATTAATTCAGAAACTTGAAACCAAAGAGATTGAAGGAAAAAAAGTAGCCTCAATTCACAATGTACAATTGGACACGAAGGGTATAAAGACAGACTTACTTTAAATTGGCACCTGCCCGATTCATTATTGTATATACCAACAGAGACATACAAAACAGTTGCAGTCAAGTTAGTAACTTCATTTCAACAGCACTTCACAAATATGCAGGAATCATAGTTATTCTTTCGAAGATCAAGTCTAGTATTTTCACTGTCAAAAAATCCAAGGTTGCCCATGTGCAAAAGCAGACATAAAAAACATAAATACAAATTTTGTCATGGGTCCCACCTTGTGATTTGTTTGAAAGCTAAGACATGAAAGCCTTAGGAGCTGTGTTCAGAATTGAAAAGACAGGTTTAGATCTTTATAACATTAGCTAAAGAATAAACAACATTTCTTTGTTATCTGTCAGTAATACTAAAAATCTGAAATTGAAGAAAACAGTCCCCTAACCACCAATCTTGTTCCATGATGAAGTCCTTGTTTAGGATTCAAGTTTCATAGCAACGTTCTAAGTACTGGTACTAACTACATAGGCAGCGAGAGCGCTGAGGTCCTGCAAAAGGGAATTTAGGGAGTTAGGTAGGAAACTGAAAAACAGGATCTGTAGGGTTGTAACGTGAGATTACTCCCTGTGCCATGTATTAGTGAGGCCAGACGTAGGAAGATATTGTTGAATGCGTGGCTGAAGAGCTGGTGCACAAGGGAGGGATTCAGATATTTAGATCATTGGGATCACTTCCAGGGCAGATGGGACCTGTCCAAGAAGAATGGATCACATCTAAACTGGATGATTACCAATATCCTTGCAGGGAGGTTTGTTAGTGCCACTCAGGAGGGTTTAAAACAGTGTGTTGGGGTGAGGAGGTCAGCATGTGGAGTGTTTAAAAAGAAGAAAGGGGCAAAATTGGCAGTCTAGTAGGAAGAACAGCCATGACAAGGCTAACAGACACAGCAGGACTAGCAGTCTGAAGTGTATTTATTTTAATGCAATGAATATAACACAAAAGACAGGTTAGCTTAGAGTCTGGATTATTACATGGGAGTACAATGTGGTAGCCATTACAGAAATTTTGTTCAGAGAAAAGCTGGACTGGAAGCTCAACGTTCCAGGGTTTAGATATTGTCAGGCTAATATTAAAAAGGAGATCTAAGATTAAAAGGAGATCTTGATCACTTGGGTCAATGGACTGAAGAGTGACATATGGAGTTTAATTTGGATAAATGCAAGGTATTGCATTTTGGTAAAACAAACAAGGACAGGGCTTATACAATTAAAGGTAGGGCCTTGAGTAGTGTTGTAGAACAGAGAGACATAGGGGTTGAGGTACATAATTCTTTGAAGTCTGCGTTACATACAAACAGGGTGATTAAGAAGGCATTGAGCATGCTTGCCCTCATTGCTCAGACCTTCAAGTATAGGAGTTGGGACATTATGTTGAGGCTGTACAAGACAGAGATGAGGTCTCTTCTGGAGTACTGTGTCCAGTTCTGGTCGCCCAGTCATACGAAGGATATTATTAAGCTGTGAAGATTCAGAAGATTCAGAAGAGATTTACCAGGCTGTTGCCAGAAATGGAGGGTTTGAATTATAAGGAGAGGCTGGATGGGCTGCAACTTTTTAAGCATAACAGGTTGAAGGGTCACTTTATCGAGATTTATAAAATCATGGGGGGTATAAATAAGGTTAACGGCAGGTGTCTTTTCCCCATGGTGGGGGATTTCAAGACGTATTTTTAAGGCGAGAGGATAAGGATTTAAAAAAGACAAGAGTATTTTTGAAACACACTATGGTTTGTGTGTGGAACGAACTTCCAGAGGACGTGGTGGATGCGTGTATGTTATAACATCTAAAAGACATTTGGATAAGTACATGAATAAGAAATGTTTGGAGGGGTATGGGCCTAGCAGAAGCGGGTAGGACTAAATTAGGTTGGGATCATGGTCAGCAAGGACTCAACATTTTGGGCCCAGGTTCAAATCCTGCCAAGGCAGATGGTGGAATTTGAATTCAATAAAAAGTCTGGAATAAAAGAATAATGATGGCCATGAACCCATTGTCATTTGACAGAAAACCCATCTGAGTCACTAGTGTACTTTAGGGAAGCAAATTGCCATCCTTACCTGATCTGGCCTATACGTGACTCTTAACTGCCCTTTGGGCAATTAGGTATGGGCAATAAGCACTGATCTAGCCAGCGATGCCCTCATCCCATGAATGAATAAATAAAACAAAAAAAAGCGGTTGAGACAGAAAAGATTCTAAGGGACAGGACTAACTTGCATTTTAGAGAAAAATAGACTTATTAGGGATAGACAACATGGTTTTATGCAGGGGAGTTCTTGTTTCACAAATGATTGAGTTTTTTGACAAAATGACAAAACATTGCTTATGAGGCAAAGACAGTGGATGCTGTCTACCTGGACTTTAAAGTATTCCACAAGGTTCTTCACAGTAGGCTTGTCCAGAAAATCAAATCACATTTAATCCATGATCAGTTGGCAAGTTAAGATACAAAATTGGCTTGGCTATAGAAGACAGAGGGCAAATGTGGAGGGATGTTTTTCTGACGAGGAGATCCGTAGCCAGTGGGGGTCCAGAAGGATTGGTGCAGAGACCGCTATTGTTTGTAATTTATATGAATTATTTGGATGAAAATGTCAGTGGTCTGATTAGCAAGTTTGCAGATGACACAAAAGTTAGTGGAGTTGTAGATAGTTAGGAAGGATATCAAAAGGATGCGGCAGGATTATAGATCAGCTGGAAAGTTTTGCAGAGAAATGGCAGATGGAGTTTAGTCCAGCCAATTGTGAGGTGAACCATTTTGAGGAAAGAATACTGTAAATGGCTGCACCATTAGTATACAGAAGGATTTGGGGTCCAAGTCCACAGCTCCCTGAAAGTGGCAACACAAAGTGGACGAGGTAGTAAAGACAGCATACGGCACGCTTGCCTGCATCGGTCAGGGATTGAGTATAAAAGTTAGCAAGTCTTGCTGCAACTGTCCAAAACTTTGGTCAGGCCACATTTGGACAGGGTGCAGAAGAGGTTTACCCAAGATGTTGCCTGGATTGGAATCTATTAGCTTATAAGGAGAGGTTTAACAATCCTGGATTGTTTTTGCTAGAGTATCAGAGGCCGAGGGGGCGACCTGATAGAAGTCTATAAAGTTATGAGGAGCACGGATAGGGTGAAAATGTCAAATACTGGGGGCATAGATTTAAGGCGAGAGGGGGAAGTTTAAAGGAGATGTGTGAGGAAAGATTTTTTTTTAAACACAAAGGTTAATAGGTGCTGCCAGGGGAGGTGGTAGAAGCAGATACAAAAACTAAGTTTAAGAGGCAAATAGATGGACGCTTGAACAGAGAAGAGCGTGATATGGACAATGTGTGGGCAGACGGATTAGAATAGCATCATGGTCAGCACAGACATGGTGGGCTGAAGGGCCTATTCCTGAGTTGTACTGTTCTGTATTCTATTCCTTCCTTGTGTCTAAGTTTGTGGGGTGGAATATCCACTGCAGTTGAACTGTGCAGAAATTCTGGAGGATATAGATTGTTATCCTGTTCACTCATAGAATCAATGCTGATATGTTTCTACTTCACTTAACAGCTTTTCAAAAGCCTTTTCAGCTAAATCTAGCAAGTCCTCATTTTTAGCACAAAAGATAACTTTTGTATAAATTGTCAAAAGAATTGTCCCTGTCATTTTCCACATTTTATCAACTTCAGCAGCTCAACCGCTATACAACATCTCAGTCAGACCATTGCCATTACGACCCTCCCACATCCCATCCTGCTCCTTCCATCCCTTTTATAAAACCCATCTCTCCGACCATAGTAACTTTGTTGTTACCTTCTAGTGCTGCCAATTATTGCAGCCACATGTACATCACATGTCAATTCTCCACTTGCATCAGGCACTGCCCACCAAATGAACCACACATCAGCTCTGTCCTTTAAAATGGCCAATTAAAATAGGCCAGATAATCAAATCCTATCACAGATGTTTAGAAGTTAATTCTGTACTCATTCATCCTTTAAAATTCCAACTGCCATGACAAGAGATGGCCAGAACCTCATTTTAATTTATATGCTAACTCATGTTCAGATATCAGTCACATGAGCACATAATTAAAGTCACATTCTTCCCTTCAGGAGGTAACACAGAAACTGGTCAGCCAATTGCTTGTACTTGCAGCAGCTTAAAAAGTTACACGCCATTCATTTAGGAAACCAAATTAACATTTCATGGCATATCTCCACAGCATACCATCACAAGTCAAATCCCTAGATATTAGTGTTCAGGTCATCCAAGTCTTGAGCACCAAATGCTGAAAAGCTAATGACAAGCTTTCATATTAATTACTTACGGGGATGACTGACGATACAATGTGCTGCTAATAATTTTAGTGAAGGTACTTCAAATAGAGCTGGGTGAAAGAGAAGCTCTCGCGCAGTGGGTCGCTTTACAGGATCAACCTCCAAACATTTCTGAATGAATTCCTGTCATAAAAGGGAAGACGAAAAGTACATTTAAAGCAGACATATTTATCAACCTCAGTTTCAATTCATATTAGCTTGCTATCAGTGCGAGGTTACAGAAACCATAAGTTTACTTAGAATCATCTATTTAGTACAAAATGAACAGACGAAGCTTGAAACAGTTACACTGATGATTCCAATGGTCTTATGTATGTTTTGAAACTGCCCTATATCCACCTTCTTTCTCAAGGATTAAATTCAAGAGAGTAATCTTCTAGTTTATGCCCCAAATCCTGATTGAACAACAACAGGGTTACAATATTTCTCCAGTATGAGCATGTGTAACGATACGTCAGAAACTTTCACAACCTACTGACAGCACCTCAAAGCACCAAAGGACTGCCAGCAGTACCGTGGCAAAATCCTCCATTCAGACTTGTTTAAAACTTTCAGAATAGCTGTAGCAAAATCTGGGAATTGACTTTGAAATTTTTATTCTTGTTTTCAAATCCCTTCATAAATTTGCCCTCCCTGTCTCAAATCTCCTCCAGCTATACAACTTTTAAATTTCTGTACTGCCCTAGGTTTGATCTTTTGATCATTCCAGATTTTAATCACTCCATCAATGATGGTCATGCTTCACATGCCAAGGCATTGAGCTGTGGAAATCTCTCCCTAAACCACTTCCGCTACCTGTCTCTTCTCCATTAAGATGTTCCTTTAAAACCTTAAATAGTTATAAGCCCTGGCTCAGTTGGTACCAGTATCAGAGATAGCAGGAACTGCAGATGCTGGAGAATCTGAGATAACAAGGTGTAGAGCTAGATGAACACAGCAGGCCAAGCAGCATTAGAGGAGCAGGAAGGCCGACGTTTCGGGCCTAGACCCTTCTTCAGAAATGGGGGAGGGGAAGGGGGTTCTGAAATAAATAGGGAGAGAGGGGGAGGCGGATAGCAGATGGATAGAGGAGAAGATAGGTGGAGAGGAGACAAACAGGTCAAAGAGGCGGGGATGGAGCCAGTAGAGGTGAGTGTAGGCAGGGAGGAGATAGGTCAGTCCAGGGAGGATGGACAGGTCAAGGGGGCGGGATGAGGTTAGTAGGTAGGAGACGGGGGGGGGGCTGGGGGGGGGGGGAGGGGATAGGTGGGAGGAAGGACAGGTTAGGGAGGCAGGGACGAGCTGGGCTGGTTTTGGGATGCGGTCGGGGGAGGGGAGATTTTGAAGCTTGTGAAATCCACATTGATACCATTGGGCTGCACGGTTCCCGAGTGGAATAGGAGTTGCTGTTCCTGCAACCTTCGGGTAGCATCGTTGTGGCACTGCAGGAGGCTCAGGATGGACATGTCGTCTGAGGAATGGGAGGGGGAGTTGAAACGGTTCGCGACTGGGAGGGGCAGTTGTTTAGTGCAAACTGAGCTTAGGTGTTCTGCAAAGCGGTCCCCAAGCCTCCGCTTGGTTTCCCCGATGTAGAGGAGGCCACAACGGGTACAGCGGATGCAGTATACCACATTAGCAGATGTGCAGGTGAACATCTGCTTGATGTGGAAAGTCTTCTTGGGGCCTGGGATGGGGGTGAGGGGGGAAGTGTAGGGGCAGGTGTAGCACTTCCTGCAGTTGCAGGGAAAAGTGCCGGGTGTGGTGGGGAGTGTGGAGCTTACAAGGGAGTCCCGGAGAGAGTGGTCCCTCCGGAAATCAGATAAGGGTGGGGAGGGAAAAATGTCTTTGGTGGTGGGGTCGGATTGCAGATGGCAGAAGTGTCGAGGATGATGCGTTGGGTCCGGAGGTTGGTGGGGTGGTAATGAGGACGAGGGGGATTCTGTTTTGGTTGTTATGGCGGGGAGGGGGTGTGAGGGATGAGTTGCGGGAAATGCGGGAGACACAGTCGAGGGCGTTCTCGACCACAGAGGCAGGGGAAGTTGCGGTCCTTGAAAAATGAGGACATCTGAGATGTACGGGGGTGGAATGCCTCATCCTGGGAGCAGATGCGGTGGAGGCGAAGGAATTGGGAATAGGGGACGGCATTTTCGCAGGAAGGTGGGTGGGAGGAGGTGTATTCTAGGTAGCTGTGGGAGTTGGTGTGCTTGAAATGGATATCGGTTTCTTGGTGGTTGCCAGACATGGAGACAGAGGGGTCCAGGAAGGAGAGCGAGGTATCGGAGATGGTCCAGGTGAACTTAAGGTTGGGGTGGAAGGTGTTGGTGAAGTGGATGAACTGTTCGAGCTCCTCATAGGAGCACGAGGCAGCACCGATAGAGTCATCGGTCATCAATGTAACGGAGGAAGGAGGTGGGGTTTAGGGCCAGTGTAGGTACGGAAGAGGGATTGTTCCACAACCTACGAAGAGGCAGGCATAGCTTGGGCCCATCTCCAATACCTCTCTCTCCTTCCTGGACCTCTCTGTCTCCGTCTCTGGCAACCACCTAGAAACCGATATCCATTTCAAGCACACTGACTCCCACAGCTACCTAGAATACACCTCCTCCCACCCACCTTCCTGCAAAAATGCCATCCCCTATTCCCAATTCCTTCGCCTCCGCTCCCAGTATGAGGCATTCCACTCCTGTACATCTCAGATGTCCTAATTTTTCAAGGACTGCGACTTCCCCCCCACCTCAGTGGTCGAGAACACCCTCGACCGTGTCTCCCACATTTCCCACAACTCATCCCTCACACCCCCTCTCCGCAATAACAACCAAAACAGAATCCCCCTCGTCCTCACGTACCACCCCACCAACCTCTGGATCCAACACATCATCCTCCGATCTGCAATCCGACCCCACAACCAAAGACATTTTTCCCTCCCCACCCTTATCTGCTTTCCAGAGGGACCATTCTCTCCGTGACTCCCTTGTCCGCTCCACACTCCCCTCCAGCTCCACCACACCCGGCACTTTTCCCTGCAACCGCAGGAAGTGCTACACCTGCCCCTATACCTCCCCCCTCACCTCCATCCCAGGCCCCAAGAACTTTCCACATCAAGCAGATGTTCACCTGCACATCTGCTAGATGTGGTATACTGCATCCACTGTTCCTGTTGTGGCCTCCTCTACAGCGGGGAAACCAAGCGGAGGCTTGGGGACCGCTTTGCAGAACACCTACGCTCCGTTTGCACTAAACAACTGCACCTCCCAATCATGAACCATTTCAACTCCCCCTCCCATTCCTCAGACGACATGTCCATCCTGGGCCTCCTGCAGTGCCACAACGATGCCACCCGAAGGTTGCAGGAACAGCAACTCATATTCCGCTCGGGAACCCTGCAGCCCAATGGTATCAATGTGGACTTCACAAGCTTCAAAATCTCCCCTCCCTCTACCGTATCCCAAAACCAGCCCAGCTCGTCCCCGCCTCCCACCCCAAGCCCCACCCCCATCTCCTACCTACTAACCTCATCCCGCCCCCTTGACCTGTCCATCCTCCCTGGACTGACCTGACCTATCTCCTCCCTACCTCCCCATCTACACTCACCTCTACTGGCTCCATCCCCGCCTCTTTGACCTGTCTATCTCCTCTCCACCTATCTTCTCCTCTATCCATCTTCTATCCGCCTCCCCCTCTCTCCCTGTTTATTTCAGAACCCCCTTCCCCTCCCCCATTTCTGAAGAAGGGTCTGGGGCCGAAACATCAGCCTTCCTGATTCTCTGATGCTGCTTGGCCTGCTGTGTTCATCCAGCTCTACACCTTGTTATCTCTGGTACCAGTATCACTTCTGAACTACAAATTGTGGGTTTATGCTCCACTTCTGGACTGGAACAAAAACAAAAAGTGAACACTCCAGTATGCTTCAGAGAGCATAATCCTCTTTTACAGCTGTTATCTTTCATACAAAATGTTAAATACAAGTCCTGTCTGCTCCCTCTGGATGTAAAAGTTCTGTTGTGCTCTTTTGAAGGAGGGCTGGGGTTATCTTTGATGCCCTGGTCAATATTCATCCTCAATCAACATTGGGAGAAGAGAATTCCTGTCATTATCAAAATGTCCCAAAATGCTGCACAATTGTTGTTTGTGGGAGGCGTCGGTTAGCTCAGTTGTCTGGACAGGCTGGTTTGTGATGCAGTGTGATGCCAAAACTGTGGATTGAATTCCCACACCTGTTGACGTTACCATGAAGGACTTCCCCCCTCAATCTCTCTCCTTGCCTCAGGACTGGTCACCGTCAGGTTAAACCAACACCAGCTGTCTCTCTCTACTGACAGCAGCCCTGTGGTCTGGTTAGACTATGGTGATTTTACCTTGATGTTGGTTAGAGCAAATTGACTTCTGTGTTTCCTACAATGCAATTATGACTGCACTGTAGAAATAATTCAATTGGGGCATTCTAAGATCACAAGCTGTCTTCCTAAATGCAAGCTCTTTCTGTAATCTCTTTCATCAAGCTTTTTGTCTCAGTCTTAAGCTTTGGTTTGGTATTATTTGGTGGATAGCGTCCTGTGTAACATTTTGGGGCATTTTGCTATGTAAACGCAATAGAAATCATCTCTTCCATGTTCCAAGCTCCCCTTCAGAAACAGTTAACTTAAATTTGGATTTCAGTTTTCTTTACATTGCAAATTTTAGGAGCATGCCTTAATACAGAAACTTGAGGATCATCATAAGGGCATTTTGCAGATGTGGTGGTCTTTTCTCTTGATTCAGAAGAATACACAATCCAATTCAACCATATATTTGGAGAATACAGAAAGGAGTACATTCAGATCATGAGGAGATGGTTGTAATTCGGAAACAAGACAGTCAAATTGCTCCCACAAACAGCAATGTGATAATGACAGGTATTCTCTCTTCTTTATGTTGACGGAGGATAAATATTGATCAGGACATCAGGGATAACGCTGACACTTCTTCGTAACTTTTACATACAGATGGAACAGACAGGGCTTTGATTTAACATTTCATGTTGTTACTCCACGGAGGCAGACAGCTGAACTTCTGTATTCACAGCACGGTAAAAGTGAAACCTTCAAAGACCCACAGAATTGGCCTCAAATGTCTCCTAACCAGACATTTTGAACAACCAATCCCAAACTCTGCAAATAATCAATTCTCAACACTGGTTTGTAGCTTAAGCAAAAGACTTAGCAATTCATTAACAATACAATAGCTTTAGTAGAGCAAAATTAAACAATAGAGTTATCTAGTTGGTCAATGCTATAAACCCAAAAACTTTTGCTTTCAGCACCATTCACACAAAAGACAGACAACACAGTTAAGGGACAAATAAAATAACAACTGGCCAGATTACTTAAGTGGTTTGCGTGATGCATTGTTCCATAGGCACAGATGATGGATTCTTGGTTGATTTTCTGAAGATGCGATCATGGTCACCTTTACAGTTCACTGAGGTAAAGGCAGTAATACTTATAACTTGGTTCTCAATTCTCTGAGATCTGAGAGCTGAGAAGGGATTTTAGGCAGGGGGCTTTCAAATCTTCATGATGTAGTCATAACAAATCTTACTGATATAGTCATAATAGCCGGATTCCTTTTCACCCAAAGCACAGTCCAAACCCAATTCAAACTCTGAACACTCACAAACAGACTGACTCTGTCCTATGTGAGGTTCCAGTCATCATTCGACATCTGCCATCTGTTTGAGCATAAGACCTTTTTCTGACTTGTTGGAACCAGTTCCCAAGTACCGACCTTGTTAATAGCCAACTTCTGCTATCTGGGTAAACAATGCTACTCCCTAATAATGAAAACTCTGCAGATCCATTTGATCAGGAATTAATTAATTTGTTTCTAGGAACCAACGTAGGTCAATGAGTCCAAGGATGAACAGGACTTCATATAAAATTGTAACACAAGTAGAGTTTTGGATGATCTCTAGTTTATACAGTGGACTCTCTAGATGTGCTTAGGAGAAATCCGTTCTCAAGATAATAACAACACGTTTTTGAGATGGGGAAAAAAAGAGAGCACAAGGCAGTAAAATAACATTGAAGAGGTGCAAAAATATGGTCTTCATAAACAGCAGAGATGTATGGCTGGAAGCTCATTTCTGGGTCAAATATAACACTAAGTTTTCAAACAGTCCAGCCCAGCCTCAGAAAGTTACCAAAGGAAAAGGATGACGGTAGTGCACCTTGAAACAGGATTTACGACATTGAGAGAAGACAATAGCTTTCATCTTCCCAGTACTTATTTGGAAGATATTTCTGCTTATCCTGCGCCATATATCAGACAAGGAGTTAGGCAGTTTAGAGACATTTGAGAGACTACAGAGGCAGCGGTACAGTATAACTTAGTTTGAGACTGAGTTTTCAGAGGATGACGACATGTAGATATGGATGCAAAAACAGAACAAAGCTAAGGATAGGTCTTCAGGGACACCAAAGGAAACCATGCAGGAGCAAGATAACAAGTAAAAGCAAGATGATTCACTGGCTGTCTGAATGGGTTCAAAAAGCATTCAACTTTTGTCATTGAACTGGTATAATACTTACTCGCTGCAGAGTGTCTTCTAGTGACTGAATTGCATTATTGATTGCTTCTTGCGACACATAAGATGATTCTCCATTACCCTGGATCTCCAATACTGCCATCTAAAAGACAAAAAGAAAGCAGCAATGACTGAGATTCACGCAAGTTGAACAAACTGCACATCCACTAGTGTGAAGCAACAATATCAAAGCTCATTGGTTATTATCACTATTTTCCATACACCTCCTATATGTAATTAAACCCACAAGCCACACCCTTACAAGGACAAAAAACAAAACCCATTCAATAGATTTCAATGCAACAGTTTATCACATGTCATCAAACCTTACATTCAAGACAATTCTCAATTCCTTTCAGCAACCCAATATTGTTTTAAGGGCTGTCCTTGATTCTCAACACAAAGCCAAGAGGGTTTGCGCGGTGCGTGTGCATATGTGATGGAGGAGGCTTCATTTCAAACCCAGTGCCGAGATAGGAAGCAGGAAGTGCAAGTAAAAGAAGAGCAGGCATTGGATTCATTCTGGACACTGCACCAAGAGAGGCTGAGCGACAAAAAAAATCCAAGATTTACATCACAGGAAATTTAAGTTCATTAGTTGATAAGCAGCTGCTGTTAGGAATTATTTGAAATATCTTAAAACTACCATTAAGAAACAGCAGAGCTATTAGGATCTCAGGAAGGAACACTACCAAACGAGAGGCAAAATTAAATAACTCGAAGTAAAATAAAGTAAAACTGAAGGAAAATAAAGTTATTATAAATGAAATAAAGTTTAGTGTCTGTTAAGTTTTAAAATTAACTTCATATTTATTTTAAGGATGACAAGAACAAATGACAAGGTATGGGATGGCAAGTCAGCACAGTCAAGTGGAGTGTACGTCATGCTGAACGTGAGAAGTCATAGACAATATTATATGTACCAGTCAAAATGATCTGCAGAAAGTGTCACCAGCTGCACAAGCTTGAGCTCCAGGTTTTGGAACTTGAGCAGGGGCTGAAGTCCCAATTATGGAGGTGAAAGATCAAGGATTACATGGGTAGTGCGCAGAGTGGTGGTCAGACCACAGATTAGAAGCATACAGGCAGAGTGGGAATGGGTAACTACCAGGCAGGAAGCGCAGGAATCCATCGAGTCAATAAGTATACCATTTTGAGTCAGTTCATATTCCATTTTGAATCAGTATCACATTTTGGAAACTACTGCAAACAAGCTCACGGCACCAAGGGCACATCAGCTGTTTTAGTGTTTGGGGTGGGTGGGATGCTGCCTCACAGCGCCAGGGACCTGGGTTCGATTCCAGACTTGGGCGAATGTCTGTGTGGAGTTTGCACATTTTCCCTGTGTCTGCATGGGTTTCCGCCAGGTGCTCCGGTTTCCTCCCACAGTCCAAGATGTGGGAGTCATGCTAAAATGCCCCATAGCATCCAGGGATGTGCAGGCTAGGTGGATTGGCCGTGATAAATACAGAGATAGGGTTGGGGACTAAGTTTGGGTGGAATGCTGTTTGGAAGGTTGGTCCAGATTCACTGTACCAAATGGCCTCTTTCTGCACTGAAGAGGTTCTAAGATGCTGTGAAAAGAGTGGCAATCATGATAGGGAATTCCACAATCAAAGGATCAGGACACAGGGATTTCTGTGGCTTGAAATGAGATTCCAAGATAATGCATTGCCTCGCTGGGGCCAGGGTCAAGGTCACAGAACTGCAGTGCAAGACATACTTCTAGGAAAGGGGCATCAGTGGGAAGTTGTGGTTAACACTGGTACCAACAACACAGATTGGAACAGGGATGAGGTTGAAGCACTGAAAGCAGAATTCAGGGATTTAGGAAGGAAAATTAAAACTCATGATCTCAAGAGCAGTAATTTTAGGATTACACCCAGTGCTATATGCCAGTGAGTACAGGTACAGGAGGGTTAACACATGGTTGGGGATCTATTGTAGAAGAGAAGGCATTGAATTTCTGAGGCATTGGGACCAGTTCCGGGGCAGGTGGGACCTGTACAAGTGGATGGGTTAAATCTTAACAAGACCAGGACTGATCCGTGCAGGGAGAATTGATTGTGCTGTTGGTTTTGGTTTAAACTAGCTTATCAGGGAAATGGTTACTTGGCTGAAAAGGAGGTGAGCTAAAGGAGTTAACAGGAAGAAGTAAAGATTCAAGGGCAACTAGTAGATAGGAGAAACACAAGCTGAGCATCAAGAATATCCAAAATATAAAAGGCACTCTATCCAAATATATGCAGCCTTTACAACAAGATAGATCATCTAAAAGCACAAAGACAGGTAAATGGTTATTATATAATTGCCATTACAGAGATATGACTGCATTATTACAAGGAATGGGATCAGAACATTGAAAGATCTTCAGTATTAGGAAGGACAGAAGTGAAGGAAAAGAAAGTGAAGTCACGCCAAAACTGTGTTTTCACCAAGGAAGATACAAGAAATCTTTAAGAATTAGAGATCCATGTATCGAGAAAGAATTAGTAGTTGAAGGAAATTAATTTGAAGATTGGCCCTGAGGGAGTGACAGCCTGGAATAGTTTAGTGTTTTATAATTAATTCCATTAAACTATGGTTGTACAAAAGAAATTAATGGTGCTCAAAATTGACAAGTCCCCCAGCACCTGATAGTCTACGTCTCAGGTTATTGAAAACAGTGGGCTATAGAGCTAGTCAATGCATTGAAATTTATCTCCCAAAATCCAATAGATTCTGGAATGATTCCTGCAGATTGGAAGCTTGCAAATGTCACCCTAATATTTAACAAAGAGAAAAAGCATATCATTACACGATGTGGTAAATGGACACTTGGATAAGAAAATTCTCTGACTGACAGAGTTGGCAATGGATTGCAAATGGAACGCTGTGTTGGAGTGTTTTGAAGATGTTACTGAAGAAATTGATACAAGTGAGTCAATAGGTGTAGTATATTTGAATTTTCAGAAGGCCTTTGACAAGGTCCCACACAGGAAATTGGTAAGTAAAGTTAAAGCACATGGTATACTGGCACAGATTAAGGCATAGCCAACATACAGGAACAAGAGAGTAGGAATCAATGCATCATTCATGTATGGGTAGATTGTGACTAGTGAGATACCACCAGGATCAGTACTTGGGTTCCAGCTGTTCAAAACACAAACCAATCATTTGGACATGGATACTAAATGTAATATTTACAAGTTTCCAGATGGTACAAAGCAAGCGAGAATGTGAGTTGTGAAGAAGATTACAAAGTATTCAGGAGGATTTATACAGGCTTAGTGAATGGGAAAGAACATAGCATATAAATATGTGGAAAACATGGGCTATCCTACATTGGTAGGAAAAAAATATACGTGCAAGGTATTTCTCAAGTGGAGACAGTTGCAAAGTGTAGATATGCAAAGAAACTTGGGTATCTTTATCAGGAAGTCACTTAAGGCTAACATGCCAGTGCAGCAAGCTATTAAGAACGTAAACCATCACTGCAAGAGGATTTCAGTACAGGAGTAGCAAAGTCTTGCTTTAATTGTGTAGGAACCAAATTCAGAATCCTACTGAAATGTAAAAAGCACCATACACAATCACTAAATTTAAAAGGAGACATTTCCTATCTACTGTTCAGCTAAAACTATCACTTCTTGATTGAGAGAGAGACAACAAGGTGCAGGGCTGGATGAACACAGCAGGCCAAGCAGCATCATAGGGGCAGAGAGGCTGACGTTTCGGGCCTAGACCCTTCATCAGAAAAGGGGGAGGGGAAGGGGGTTTTGAAATAAATAGGGAGAGAGTGGGAGGCGGATAGAAGATGGATAGAGGAGAGGATAGGTGGAGAGGAAACAAACAGGTCGAAGAGGCGGGGATGGAGCCAGTAAAGGTGAGTGTAGGTGGGGAGTTAGGAAGGGGATAGGTCAGTCCGGGGAGGACGAACAGGTCAAGGGGGCGGGATGAGGCTGGTAGGTAGGAGATGGAGGTGCGGCTTGAGGTGGGAGGAGGGGATAGGTGGGAGGAAGAACAGGTTAGGAAGGCAGGGACGAGCTGGACTGGTTTTGGGATGCGGTAGGGGGACGGGAGATTTTGAAACTTGTGAAATCCACATTGATACCTTTGGGCTGCAGGGTTCCCAAGCGGAATATGAGTTGCTGTTCCTGCAACCTTCGGGTGGCATTGTTGTGGCACTGCAGGAGGCCCAGGATGGGCATGTCGTCTGAGGAATGGGAGGGGGAGTTGAAATGGTTCGCGACTGGGAGGTGCAGTTGTTTATTGTGAACCGAGCGTAGGTGTTCTATGGTTTTTGAAAACACGAGCGCACATTTACCATCATCGGAAGTCAATTTATTTTTAGCACCGATTTTACTGGGGGAGAACAGATGAAGAAAATAATTGCCATCCAAAAAACCTCACGAGGAAAATAAAATTCAAGCATCAGTCTTTCCCTGAGCACAGTTTATCATTCCTCACATCAATAAATAGTATCAACCATATCGAACTGACAAGAAAAAAAAAATCACTGTGACAATTCAGCCACGAAGTTTGCAACAGAAGGCAATCTTTCCCAGCCTTGGATATCTATTCAGAATGAATCAGTGACTAGAATAGAAAACAGTTTTTTATATCACCTGTACATAAAAATTTTATAAAGTCTCTTTGATCATGAAGTACCAACATGACTAATAGTAGATAGAAGACTAATCATGGCAACTCCAAGGAACTCCGGGGATTTTACTGCATTGCATCCAAGCGCATTTTTTAAAAAAAAAGATGAATTCAGTTCAGTTCTCTCAAAAGATGTTCAACACAGATTGTCACATACCTCTAATGCACACATTCCAAATGAATAAATATCAACAGCCGTAGTCACATTTGTTACAGCTGTAAAAGACAGAACAGATCATTATTATATTACAAGAAGCAAACAGCACTTACATTTTATGAACCCCTACTACAATAGTAAGGCCCCAACCAACGAATAAAACAGAATCATCCTCAACACAGGAACTTCCATTTCAACTTTTTTTGTAAGAGCAAACAGCCCTATACGCAAGGAAATTGGAAGGACTGGCAAACATATGCACTAGAAGACAAACAATTCATTCATGGGATGTGGGTGTCACTGGCTAAGCCAGCATTTATTGCCCATCTCTGATTACCCAGAGGACAGTTAAGTGTCAACTAAATTGTTGTGGGTTGGGTGCAAAATTTAAGTGAGACCAGGTAAGGATGGCAGGTTCCTTTCTTAAAGGGTATTAGCCATTCAGAAGGGTTTTTCCAACAAATGACAATAGTTTTATGGTCAGTTAGACTCAGAATTCCTGACATTTACTGAATTCAACTCCAGCATCTGCCATGGCAGGATTCAAACGTGGGTTGCCAGAACATTTCTAAGGTTGTATTAAGAGTCTAGCAATAATGCCACTCGGCCATCATCTCCCCAAAAATGCAGAGTTTCAGTTACATCAATTCGTCATTCAGACTCTTAAACGTTACTTTTAGCTTTAAGAAGCCCAGAAACTAAGTTACCAAATGGGCAACTGAAGCCTACTGATTTAGAACCAGAATCAAAAAGAGGTTCTATTATAACCATCTGTAGAAAGTAACTATATGCCATTTACAACAATGAACGCACTCTCTCTCAAATATCTGGAGAAGGGCCCAGCATAAAAGCTCATTTTTTTTGTGTGTGTAAGGTTTTTTAACTGAAAATGGCGCCACCTGCTCAGCAGCAGTTACAGTGTTTCATATTAGGGGTGCTTTTGCTCAACACCCAGCTGGAAACAGCAGTATCGGTGGCTAAATGACCACAAACATGTAATTAAAACCTTATGTATGGGACAAAGCCTTTTACTGGGCTGTCACCATCAATTTTCACATCAGTCAGCACTCAAGTAGTTACACAGCTCTGAACAAGACTCACTCGTGTAGGAGCTAGCTGCCCGAGTTCAAGAGGATCAAATGCCTTTCTCAGATTAAGCTTGGAACAACATTCAACCTACATAACTTTTTACCATGCAATACACTCAAAACAGATCTCATTTCCCACTTGGGTAGGCTGTGTTACAAAAAATATTCTGGTTACTAGAACAAGTTTCAGGAAAATTAGACAAATGCATCATACATCATTTTAAAATAATCTAAGAACACAGAATGGCATAAAAACTTATTCTAAAACATATTTCATGAAGGAAGATACACTAAGGTCACATTTCGTAACTTATTTGAACTGATAATGGAATAGTGTAGGTTAGATGGGCTTCAGATTGGTTTCACAGGTCGGCGCAACATCGAGGGCCGAAAGGCCTTGTACTGCGCTGTAATGTTCTATGCACAAAACCAAATCAATTCTCTGTCAATAAATGCTCCCAAATATAACTGCTAACAACAGTTTTGTGTTTAAAGAAAGGGGAAGGAAAAGGGAAACAGATCTGAAATGAGGAGACATGGCATGCATTCTATTTATATCCCACAAGTAAATTGACGTAGCTAGAGTACAAGCATTTCAAGTGGATCACAAGTAAAAGCCACAAGTAGGACATATATAGAAGCCCACAGCTCATCTCGATACTACCATATCATTTAAGAACTAAATGAGCTTACATTCCGATGACATACAAAAAAAAATTAGCAATAACTCATGCTTTGCCACAGACAACATTTGTTCGCTCCATCTTTTGCAGAAATTTTCTTCAAAAGTAAAAAGAAGCAAAGTCAATTTAATGGTGATCGGTAGCTGGCATTTGACAATAAAATAAGTTATGTACCATTTAACAAATGGTTAACACCACTATTTCATCCACATTATTATTGCTGAGCTTAGTTAGATTGCGATTGGTGCTTACCTCCATACTCTGGGGCAAAAAAGTGCAGGTTCTTTTGTTCCTCTCTACAGGTTTTCACATGGTTGTTAATTGTATCAGGTGCAACTGTGAAAGGTAAAATGTTTGGAAATTACAGAAAGCATATTATATATAATCTTGTTGCTATATATTTCTTCAAACAAAGGAATGGGAGTGCAGGGGAAAGAGATCACAGGATTTATCAAACTATATGTTAAGCAGTTTCTTCCTCTTATCCCTACTGAACGCATTGACCCAGGTAAGAAACCAATGTTGCTTACACCAGTATCTCAATGGAGATATTTTTGAAAAAGAACAAAAATATAAATTGATTTTAATAAGAAGGAATTTTCTTGATATTTTACGAATTTCCTGCCAATCACCTCTAACAGGTAAGGAAAGTTTCATAACATCATCTTCCGCTATGACTGTACAAAAGGACTGCAAAAGACAGGACTCCAGTATTTGCAATGATCTTCAGTCTGAAGAGCCAAGTAGATGACCCATCTCAGCTTCCACCTCCGCACCCTACTTAGATGCCAATTCTTCAGAAAGTCCAATTTACTTGATGTGATATAGAAATGGCTCAGCATTTTGCACATAGCTCAGGCTTTGGACCTCAACATCCTGCTGCAGCACTGAAGACTATGTTCCAAAATTCTAGCCAAGCTCTTTCAATACAGCTGCTGCACTGGCAACTGCATGACAAAACTGAAAATGCTCAGCAAGGTATACTGTGCCCAGGAAATCAGGACAAGTATTTTCAAGCTAATCAGCACCCAGTCTCCTCTCAAAGTGATAGAAGAGATCACTGATAGAATTATCAACTCTCAAATGACTTGTCCCTCAAAAACTAGCTTCAGCCCTAACAGGTCAACTCTCTCCAGACCTCATTCGAAACTTGGTTCAAACAGGAAACAGAGCACTTAATTCCAAAAGTGAGGAGTAAATAACCACCTTTCAGGGCAACAATAGGGCAGTATTTGACCATATAAAAGGCAGAAAGGAACATGAGTAAGTTTGAAGCCAAAAGTAACGAGGGAAAGCTCTCTATTGGCTGGAGTTGTGCCTAGTAAAAAGAATTCTGGTTGTTGGAAAGCAACCTTAATCGGCGTCAGGGAATTGCTGGAGCTCCTTTGAGTAATGGGCTATACATCAATCAGACTGGGGTTGAAAGATCAAAAGTAATTTCTGCCATTCAAGTTCCAGGCAATCACCATCGAAGAGACCAACTGCCTCTACTTCATATGTAATGGTATTATTAGCAGCAGCAAAGTGGAGTTGAGGATCATCAGATCAGCCATCATCTAATTGAATAGCAAAGCAGACCTCACAAGGCTGATGGACTACTTCTGCTCCTATGTCTTACGGTCAAAACGACCATCTTCAGCATCCTGGAGTTGCCACTAACCAGAAACTAAACTGGACCAGCAACATAGAACAGCATGAAGAACAGGACGCGTCTAATTCCCCAAGTTCTTTCTCATCACGTACAAGATACCAGATGGGAGTGAGGTAGAACATTCTCTGCTTGCCTAGATACAAACAGCACCAACTGCACGAGCAACTTATCATCATCAAGCCTGATTGCTACTTCATCCACCACCAGCACATAATTTATTGCAGAAATTAACAAAGCCTCTTCCACAGTAGTTCTTAAACCCTTGACTCTACCCTATTAAAGGACAAGGGTAGCAAGCAGATAGGAATGTTTAACAAAAGTTAAACAACCTCCTGATTTGCAATTATTAACTCTACCCATACTCTGTAACTGGATCAAAATATGAAAATTCCTCCCTAATTACATCACACAGACAGGCACACTTTCAAGAAGGTGGCACATCACCACCATCTCAGGAGCAACGAAGGACAAGCAATCAACATCGGTTTTGGCTGTAATGCGCAAACCCTTTGAAGGAATAAGGAATACACTGTTCTGTGAGTGGTGAAAGCAAGCTGCCGATTATTTGATGAAAGGGAGCACACCAGAACCAATCCATGCCCTGTCCTTCAACAAGGTCCAGTAATGTCCATCAACACCAAAAACAGGAATCTAGAATCAAAGCCCTGTCTCATTTCAACCTATTCAATTTATAAGCAAATCAATTTAATGCCAATATCAGTGATATTTAGCAAAAAGCAGAGATCAACCTGGGAGATGCTGTTTCTGGAAATAACACCAAATATTCCCTCATCAAGTCAGTAAATCACTGAAAACTTGACCAAGAGTTAAGCAAACCAGTCAAATTACCCAGCTCATTTGTAACATCATTTGTTGTGGTCAATCTAAAAATTAGGCAGATATTTTTGTTTTGAACTCATAATATAGTGAAGCCGCAATAGAATGAGGGCCTCCACGTGTAAAGTTCTCAACCTTAAATATTTAGACCTGCAAGCATTTTGTCAGTCATATCTTTTGCTTTTAAAAAACAATTCTTCTATTTCAGCTGTCAAACAAATCAAGTTGGCAAGTTAAAATGACTAACTTTGGAAGAAAGTATTTCCTTTCAGGAAACTCAGGAGAAACAGAATGTGTACTTCACCTAAGACAGGAATTCTGTAACAAAAACACAAATTGCTGGAGAAACTCAGCAGGTCTGGCAACATCTGTGGTAAAGAAAGCAGAGTTAACGTTGAGTCTGATGAGTTTCTGATGAAGTCACCAGACTCAAAACATCAATTCTGCTTCCCACTACCCCTACAGATGCCATCAGACCTGCTGAGTTTCTGCAGCAATCTGTGTTTTTGTTACACATCTCAAGGATCTGCAGTTCTTTATTTTATTATATTGGACAATTCTGTGTTTTTCACTTCTCTGCTTCACAGCAATGTTTTTCTTGGTAGGTCTGAATTGGAGATTTGTTTCACAATGCAGGTTTGTTACTGTGGGGAACCATCCCCTACTAAGTGAAATCACAACTTACTCTAATACCAAGTAGAGCCAGCCGTTGTCTTCATTTCCATGAAACTACCACTCCTATTTTTACTGGCTACTTAATACGATGTTGAAGCAAAGTCTTCACCTAGCTATTAGAAAGCTAGAAGCTAATGATTTATTAGCAGCTTTGTGCTTCAAACCTAATATTTCAGCAAGAAAAACAGAAGTTGCTGGAAGAGCTCAGCAGGTCTGGCAGCATCTGTGAAGAAAATATTTCAGACAGACAGAAAAGTTCAATCACCAACACTCGGTAAGTCACTGACATCTGAAACTAGTTTCAAAACTCCACTTTGGGGACAATAAACTTTTACACAAGTTCAGTTGGTGGATTTTAAATTGGAACAAAAATGAAAAGTTAGCGTACATTTACTTTTGTTATGATGAAGCCACATCTGATTAGGGAGCACATTTAAAAGTTAGAGATTTAAAGTGGTGAGATACACTAGGGTGGTGCGAGTGGTTTTTACCCTCATGAACATAAATGAAAAAAAAATTGCACTTTTTTTAAACAATTGTTAGTTTGGTTAAATACACAAACACCAGGAAACTCAAATTGGTATTTGGTTCTACAAGAATCTGAGGACAAAAGATGAATGGAACTTAAATTGAATACCAACCTATACAAAAGCTTACATTATTTTATAAGTTATCACTTCAAAAACTCAAGAATTTCATTATAACACACTAGCATACTAAGTAGGTTTATCTGATCCCAGGAAAGAATTGGACAAGTCATTGTACATCTGGTGACATGGTTTTAAATTATTCCAAAATTGGGACACCTATGCATGGAGAAACACAATGTGATTTCCTATAAAGGTGCTGCATTTTGGAAAGGGTAATCAGGGCAGGACTTACACACTTAATGGCAAGGTCCTGGGGAGTGTTGCTGAACAAGACGACCTTGGAGTGCAGACTCATAGTTCCTCGAAAGTGGAGTCCCAGGTAGATAGGATAGTGAAGGCAGCATTTGGTATGCCCACTTTGCCTGCCTTTATTGGTCAGTGCATTGAGTATAGGAGTTGGGAAGTCATGTTGCAGCTGTACAGGACATGGATTAGGCCACTTCTGGAATATGCATGCAATTCTGGTCTTCCTGCTATGGGAAGGATATTGTGAAACTTGAAAGGGTTCAGGAAAGATTTACAAAGACGTTGCCAGGGTTGGAGGGTTTGAGCTACAGGGAAACACTGAATAAGCTGGGGCTGTTTTCTCTGGAGCATCTGAGGCTGAGGGGTGACCTCAGAGGTTTACGAAATCATGAGGGGCATGGATAGGGTAAATAGTCAAGGTCTTTTCCCCAGAGTGGGGGAAGTCCAACACTAGAGGGCATAGGTTTAAGGTGAGAGGGGAAAGATTTAAAAGGGACCTAAGGGGCAGCTTTTCATGCAAAGAGTAGTGCATGTATGGAATGAGCTGCCAGAGGAAATGGTGGCGGCTGGTACAATAACAACATATAAAAGGCATCTGGATGGGTACAGGAATAGGAAGGGTTGAGAGGGATATGGGCCAAATGCTGGCAATTGGGACTAGATTAATTTAGGACATCTGGTTGGCATGGACAATATGGACTGAAGTGTCTGCTGCATGCTGTACATCTCTATGACTGATCTCAAGCAAAGGAGCTAGACCAGGAACTTAACCAGACCACCACGTAAGTTTAACCAATGTCTACTACAGCAGGGCAGAAGCTCAAGCCAGTTACCACAAACTGTTATGTTCTAATTCCCCAAAGCTGAACACCTGCAAGACAAGCTCAGAACACCTTTACCCAAAACTCATGCTTCTGTCCCCTCAAATGCAATTAGACCTGTTGAGGGGTTCTAGCATTTTGTGTTTTTATTTCAGATTCTGAGGAAGGGTCACTGGACCCAAAAGGTTGACTCTGAGTTAGCATTGCTGCTTCACAGCACCAGGGACCCGGGTTCAATTTCAGCCTCAGGCGACTGTCTGTGTGGAGTTTGCACATTCTCCCTGTGTCCGCGTTGGTTTCCTCTGGGTTCTCCTGTTTCCTCCCACCGTCCAAAGATGTGCCGGTTAGGTGGTTTGGCCATGCTAAATTGCCCACAATGTCCAGTGATGTGCACATTAGGTGAATTAGCTATGGCAAATACAAGGATAGGGTAAGGGGATGAGTCTGGGTGGGATG